AGATAGATAGATTTATTTATTTATGCAATTATTATAGCTGCCCATGTCATACCGTCATTCTGGGTGCCCTACAATAAAAGCATAAACAATATCCTCTCCCCAAAAAATTAGAAAATCAAACAATACAGTCATTAAAAACAAATAAATAAGAGCCATACAGTACAGTCACTGGGAAAGCACAAAAACAGTACATCCATTTTATGAGCTCCACACCACTTTCTGATCAGGCCAGATGGCAAAGCTAGTTCTTAAGTCCTTCCATAAGACCAGCGAAGTCAGTGCCAACCAAATTCATTGGGGAATGATATTTTATAGGGCAGGTGCAGCACCAAATCTAGACCTCCAGGTCCCAACAGATGACATTCTCTAGTGGATGGAACTCATAACAAGCCTCTTTTGTTAGATTCGATGGGAATAGTAAATATCACTGGAAAGAGGCAGTCTCTAACCCGGCTCCATAGAGCTTTAGAAGTTATAACCAGAATCTTGATCCATAAGCAAAGTTTGATTTAGTGTTGAAAATGCTGGTCTAGAAAGTAGTACACTAGGAGTTCTAGTCTTACCTTAGGCATGAAAGCTGCTGGGTGACTTTGGTCAAGTCAATCTCTCAGCCCAACCCACCTCACAAGGTTGTTGTGGATAAAAAAAGAGTAGGAAAGAGTATTACAGAATATTACATACTCAATGTTTTGAGTTACTTAGAAGTAATAAAGGTGGGATAAAAATCTAATAATAAATAAAATAGGTAGTCAATGTAGCTCGTGGAGCAGAAGGGTAATGGATGTAGTTCTAGGTGCATATATAAATGTCCCACCTAGTTGAATTTTGTACCGACTGAAGATTTATTATGAAGGTTGGTTGATAGGAGTTATCTGTTCAAAAATACACTTCTTTTCTGCAGAAAGTTAAGGATTATTGAAAGATGCAGGGCATGAATATTACATATATATTTCTAATCAAATTAAATCTAAAGATGGTGTTAAAATTATGCAGGAGGAACAGCAACTAGGGAGAAGAGCTGATTTCTTTCTTTTATACCTGTCCACTTTTATACCTGTCCACTACATCAGGGAACATTGATTCTGTAAAAGTTGCATGAAAATAAACTTTGTTACATTTACAGGGTCTGGCTTCTAGGTAAGGTTGTGTAAGATTAAATTGCAGGCCTTCTGTAGCAATCAGGGGATTAAGATCAGGTAGTGCATTTTATATCTCAATTGGGATCTGTTTTCTACAGCTAAATTGCTGCCCTGGCCAGCATGCTATGCTAGGTCAAAGAATTTGTAGGTCGTCACCTATGGTATTTATGTGGGACCTCTAACAAAAATTTTGCACTTTTTTTTCTTTCTTCTGATTTCTTAATAGGACTTAATAGGACTATTTTTGTTTGTGCTTCCAGGCATTAGTCCTCCCCGAGCATACCATTTTATTCTACATTTTCTTTTCCAATCATTATTCTACATTCCATTATTGCTGAGTTTTAATTGGAATTACTTTACCCCATTTAGGAATTTGCTGCTTAATTTAAAAAAAAATGTCTTAAATATCTTCCTCTTCTTTCTTAGATAATCCATGTTGTGTATAGTATTGGATAAGCAGAGCCTAGAAAGCTTCAATGGTTATGTGAAAGGCATGCGAACCGTGCTTTGTGAATGAAAATTATTTTTTTCTGTAATAGGATTTTCTGCATTATCTCTCTGAAGTGTATGCCATTGAATTTTTTCTGTTTTGGTAGCCTAATATGACCTGCTATAAGGAGGAAATATTTGGACCAGTTCTAGTGGTTTTGGAAGCAAACAGTCTGGACGAAGCAATTGAAATAGTGAATAACAATCCTTATGGGAATGGAACAGCAATCTTCACCACTAATGGTGCCACTGCCCGGAAATACTCCCATTTAGTGGATGTTGGACAGGTACGGTAAATAAAAGAGGAACTTTTATATAGAATTTGTTTTGAGTAGAAACTAGATGGATCAAAGCAATTTCCTAATGTTTGAATTTTTCAGATGACTTGTAAAGTAGTTCAGATGGTAAGTTGTGATATATATAGGCCTCACAGTTTTAATATTAGTGAATATTTAATTATAGTGATTCATTCATTTATTTGCTTCTTAGGCTTGCTGCATTACTTTATAAATGAGTCCTGTCACTAATACTGCACTGCACACTGTTTTTCTCTCTAATGTAGCTATTTGCCATTTATTGATGATGAACTGAGAGCCAATTAAATGATGTGAAATATATATTTTTTTGCATTAAAAATAACATATTTTGAAGTGAAAAGCATTTGAGTTGACAGCACTTGCTAGAACTGAAATGATCTGGACAGGGATTTAGACTACATTTTTTTGGTGGGCACATTGTGCACCAGAGAGTTGTTAATTTCTGTTTTGAAAGACAGAGGTCCACCCTATTGAAAAATTTAAAAATCTGTAAAAGAGCCCATGGACACATGTTCTTGTCAGAACTATGTCAGCATATATCACAAAATAGGAAGAAAGGATATCTCTTATGATGCTATCAAAATTGACTTATCTTCCATAAGAATCAGTGAGTGGAAAACGACTGAAAAGCGTTATTCTCTTGTCCGACTGCTTTTTGTCATAACAGTACAAGCTTGACAGGCAGGGAAAGATCCTTGCAATTTTAAATTCTCTTAGATTGATTTGGCTTACTTAACTTTCTCTGTCTAAAGGTTTAGAGTATTTTTCATTAGGATTATAGCAGGGGACAAAGGCTAAAATTTCCACCTTCTCTTAATGTCATTCCAATAATTACCTATCTATACCAAAGAAGTCATGTATTGCTTGATTATGAGTTTGCAAAAGATCTTATTGCTCAAAAATTGTTCTAGGAGAGAGAATTCTGCTACATGAGAGTATGGATTTGAATGGAGGGCATCCTGATCATGCACTCATTCTTTTAGCATGCTGTGCCGATTGCTATCTGTCCTCTATTACAGTATTGTTAATATGATTTTGATTTAGGTTGGTGTGAATGTTCCTATTCCGGTGCCTTTGCCAATGTTCTCCTTCACTGGCTCTCGTGGATCTTTCAGGGGGGATACCAATTTCTATGGAAAACAGGTAACTGCTATTTTTTAAAAAATATTTGTTATTGTGTCTGTGAAATGGAATGTTGGAGGAATGTGCTTAGTAACTTGTTGTATTTCATAGGGAACTTCCAGGGGCTTATCTCAAGTTTTTTTTCTTAAATTGCAGTGATTTTGCATCATAAGCTACATAAATTCTATACCTTAGTATTCTGTTTTCTTTCAGGGGGTGCAATTCTATACACAACTGAAGACAGTTATTTCCCAATGGAAAGAGGAAGATGCCACTGTTACCAAGCCTGCGGTAGTTATGCCAACCATGGGGAACTAAAGCCAATTGACATGCTTGCTGGAGTTGTTAAAAGTATTTTTCATCTGGGATGGTGCAGGCTATTCTTGAGTTGCCATTCTTGCCCTGGAAATATAGATATGTCTTCATTTCACGATCATCCTTTCCAATCAGTTGAATAGAGCCTTCTAATACAAGATTTAATTTCTGTCTATATATGGGATATCTTTTTTCTCTGTAGAAGAAAACATACTCTATGGTGAGTAATCAGGCCAAAGCAGTATCTGCTTCATCTGGTTTTGTTCCTATTCGTGAGATAGTGTTGAAAATTTAAGCTCTTTCTACAGAATTAGTTTTTCTGGGAACCATTTATTACAATAGTTGCTATCACTCTATTTATGGGTGGTATGTCCTATTGCTTTTAAGATTTATTTTTTGCAAGAAACCCTGCATATGCTAGAATCATTGTATCTCATACTAAGATGGGGCAAGTAAATTTTGGGAGAGGCAAATTCAGGAGAACATTTCATAGAGCTGTTTTGAGAGCATGGCGTTGTCGAGAAGCAGTGAAGCCTTAACTTCACTAGAATTTTAGTTCCCTTTAGCCATATAAAATCAATGAATTTTAATTTTATACATGAATGTGCCTACATACTATTTATGCAATGAATATATTTGGAACTAGATGTGTGTTTGAGCTTTGGTTTTAGTAGTGCTGAACAAATGGCATAAGAAAGCAACGTATTTTTTATAGAGGCAATATATTCTATCAATATTGCCTTAATCTGATTGTGATATTTTTCATTAAGTCAAATATATGTGGAGAAGGGTAGATTCTAGCACTAGTTACAAAGACGTTTGTGATTTTATATACAAGTATACATATTATTGATCTTGAGATCTCTGGGTTGTTCAGCAATATAGTATGTACTGATTAGCTGTGAGTGATACATTTAATTCAAATGTAAAGATAGAGGATGATAATAGTGATGCTATTTTGGGCTACATATGGTCTTCACATGGAGTTTTTTTTTAAAAATCAGAAGATATTTCCATAAATTTGAAAAATATGCTATTGCTTTCTATTGTCTAATCAAATTAGCTTTTGTACCTAACAGGTGCTTAAAAACTGATCACTATTACCTGAAGAGGTTATTCATCCATATGCTTGAAAGTTGCATATTGATGTTAATCATGAATAAATGCTACTAAATTCAGAAGTCTTTTGGTTTTCTTCAAACTAGTAATCTAATAGTAGAAATCCTTCTAATACAAAATCAAACTGTAAACACTGGTTTTTATTTGAACATGATGCTAAATCATGCCTTTGTTCAGGGACAATGATCAGTGGGTTTGTAAATGTTTTGGATTAATCAGTGGTAATCATTGGCCATGCTGGTTGAAAATATTGAAAGCAAGTAAAAGGCTTAGATGAAAATAAAAGATGTCTTTAAGAAAAATCAAAATTGCCAGACTCTGCCACTGGTATTTTACCTCCTGATATTCATATGTGAGAGAAAGATTCAGTATATAAACCTGAAAAAAAATTGTTCATCTGTATCTCATATTAGACAACCCCAGACCCACTGGACACTCCTTTCAGAGATATTTCCTTACCAGAATCCTTATTACTTTTTCACAAAAAATGCTTTTAAAATACTTGTGAATATATTTTAATCAATTTTATTCAAGAATACAAAACCCTTCAAATAACTTCTTAAGATAATGAATTAATGTGTAGGTGTCTACTTTTTGAAGAAAGCCATCAGTTATTTCTTTAAAGAAGCAATTATGTTATCTTTCAAGATGACCTGATGTAAAGCCAGATTATAACACACAAAAACAGTGATTTCATTGCTACAGCATGAGTAACCTTACACTTCTGAGGTGGTTAAATGTTAAGAAAAGAATAATTATAATTTCAGTGAGTTTGTGATTAGCATCCATGCTAATCTACTCAGGTGGTATAAGCTGAATATCTGGGAGGGGTGATGATTTATGAGATGATTCAGATAATGGTGCCTGTTGAGTGATGAAAGCATAGACAGGAACAGCAGCATCTCTGAAAAAGTTAAACAGGAAAAAAAATCAGGAGTGATATATATGTGGTTGTCCTCTGCATCTTAGCCTTAAGATTTCAAATGTCATCAGGAATACAGCTACATTTTTATTCTTGGAACAAAATATTCTCGGGTTGTAACTCCATTTATTCAAATTACCCCTTAGGAGTAGCTCTTTAGGAAACTTGATTTTAGAGAAAGAATCATAATGAACTGATACCTAAACTCCAAAGTAATTATTATTGCTACACAACTGCAAGTATAAACAATACCAGAGAATAAAAAACAAAAATGGGTAAAGACAATTTCAATTACTATACCTATTCACCATATTTAGTGCCAATGTATTCTCTTAATAATAATCCATAGTACTGTTATTCAGGAATTTTCCCTCTTCACTAAAATTTAGCATTTCTTTCTCATCATTAGTGCCTGCCACAATAGCTCCTCTGTTCAACAAAAAAGCAACTAGATCCTAGAGGTATTGTGCACATTCTTAAGGCCAAGGAAATGTCCAGACTTTATTTATCTTCTCTTTTTATTTCCTAAGTAGTAAGGAAATAATAGTTCCTTTTGAACAACTAAGTGTTGGAAAGAAATTTTGGTCTCCATCCAAAGTTAGATCCCACAACAAGGGAGTGTGGGAAGTAAAAGAGGATGAATTCAAAAGTGGGAATCTTTAATTATAATTGAATGTAATTTAATAAATTGGGATAATAAATTATAATAAATCCCAAATACATTGGGATAATAAATTAGGAAAAACAATTGGGTGGCAGCCAGAATATTGGCAGCTCCCCCATTGTCAGTTCCCCATACTCCTGTGTCCAGAGTGAAAATGTTATCAAGGAATCTTAAGAATTGCAGATGCTCTTCATGCTTTGTGTGCTTTCTCTATTTTGATTAACTACCCAAATGTATATTATCTTTAACAGATTATGTGTGTGCATCTATTACTTTGGGGCATCCAATACAAAGAAGAACTGAAGTGCTTCTATGCAGAGTAAAAGCAGATTGTTTTAATACATGCATCAAAATAGTCCTGCACTGAGCTTTTCTCCCCATACATCTATTAACAAACTGAATACTTCATACTTCTGCCAACATTTCTAGCAGGGGTGAAATCCACTTACCTTTGCTACTGTTTCGGTAGCAATATGAGCACGCACTCACATAGCAATTTGCTATATGAATTCGGTAGCAATTTACATACATGCAGGACCTTCCGCGTATGCACAGAGCATCAAAATGATGGTGGTGGGCGGAGCTTGCTACCGAGCGCGCCTGAAAAGGTAAGCAAACAGCAAAGGAGGGAATCCGCTGTGCCACATGATTTATATTAGCTAGAAAGCAGGAAATCCTGCTTTCTAGCTAATATAAATCATGTGGCACAGTTGATTGTTGGAAAAACTGGTTTGCACGAACCAGTAGCATTTTTTTACTACTGGTTCAGGCAGACAGGTGGCATCTTTACTACTGGTTCGGGCAAACCAGCCCAACCCGGTTGCATTTCACCTCTGATTTCTAGGGTCTATATTATGTTTTGTAGAAAGTACATTAGTTATCTTGAAAATTGAAATATAAATCATCATCATAAATAATTACATTTAACAACCAGATGTGCACAGAGGTAATTCTCACACAAGTACTATCTAAAGTAGTAATAAAATGTTTAAATTAGTTATATAAAAGCTTGTGTTGGGAGAAAAAAACATCCACTATGCACACTGCCCTGAAAAGGTATTACTTGCATATGTCCAACTTTACAAATAAACAATAAACCATAGTTAGACACAACAAAACCAAAAAACTCATCCCTTTGGAAGCAATATTCATTCAGTATGTAAAGTATTAGAAAATTAATAATTTAAATTAATAAACAGATGTAATCTCTTACTCAGATGCTTTTGTTTCTGCAAAATTAAAATTGCTTGGTGTTACTGGAACCAAAACGTGGCTATGTTTCCTATGAAACAAATCACAGAATAAATGGTGAGTTAATGAGGCCTAAATTATTATTTATTTATATACTATAACCCTTGTTGCAAGTTGAATGAAAGTACTGTATTTTTTGGACTATAAGACGCACTGGAGTATAATATGCACCAAGATTTTGAAGAGGTTTTTTTTTTTTAAAAAAAAAAGTTTTTGTCCCTAGGAGCACTCTGCAGGCCGCCCAAACCCTCTGCACGCTCCGTTTTTTGTGAAAAGAGCATGCAGAGAGTTTGAGGCCTGCAAAGTGCTCCTGGGGTCCAGGGAGGGCAAAAATGTGATGTGGGAAAGGGGTTTGGAAGGCCAAAAATGGGACATGCAGAGGGTATGGAAGTCCTATAGAGTGCTCCTGGGGGTTGGGGAGGGCAAAAAACGCCCCCATTTTTCCCAAGAACAGGCCTGTTTTTTCCAAAAAAAGGGGGTATGCAGAGAGTTTGAAAGGCCTGTGGAGTGCTACTAGGAGCTTGGGAGGGCAAAAACAGTCCCATTTTTGTGATAAATGGGCCCATTGCTTGCTTGTTTTTCCCCTCCCCAGCCCCCAGGACTACTTTGCAGGCCTCCCAAACCCTCTGCACGTCCATTTTTGCAAAAAATGGGCTGCACGGGTCGGTTTCGGGAGGCCAAAAATGCTGTATTCAGTGTATAAGATGCACCCAGATTTTCACCCTCTTTTTTGGGGGGGGGGGAAAGGTGCATCTTGTACTCCGAAAAATATGGTAAATAATATTGATGTATTTTTTTCAGTTTCAAGATTTTGTTTGAAACTTCTATCACCGATTTGGTAAACAATAATCAAATATTTTATAATCTGCAAAGAAATGGTAGAGTCAATATGATAAAAGTGTCTTCTTTCCATCTCTCACAAAATAGCAAACATGTCCCTGATCTCTACTAGAAGAGCTATGTTCATTCTAGATTGTAATGTGCCATGATCAATATAAATAATAGCTCAAGTTGTTACCTAATTATTCAATAGGTAGGTAACTTTCTGAATGACCCATTCCCAATTGTCTTTCATTACTTCATCCATTTATTGAGACTAAATAATTCTCTGTACACTTTCGATTAACATGATATGCAAATGGCAGGCAAATTTCATTAAGACAACAGTGATAAAACCACCACTTCCAGTTTAAACACATGGATTAGGACCAGGGAAATCCATGTTCAAATGGAAGCTGAATGGGCCTCCTTGGGCCAATCACTTCTCTTAGTCCAACTCATCTCATAAGCTTGATTGATATGGGGAAATATAAGAATGAGTGTGCTATACTGCCTTAAGTGCCTGAAAAAAATGACAGAATTATAAACCTAGTAATAAAGAAGTATTGAAATCTGAATCTCGTGTTTGCAGCCATATTTTCCCACCAGATTGGCTCTGCTTCATAGCATGGAAACAAAGATAAAAATTAATTTCTGGCAAAAGCTTGCATTTTGAAAGTATTTAGATGTTATTAGACAAAAAAGACGTAAGTTTGCAATTGCTATAATTCTGCAAAAAGGCTCTGCCAGTTCTAATACTCTATAGGAGTGTGGCCATAGCTTCAGTCCTCAACAAATCAGAATCAGTCTCTGTTTAGAAATCCCTATGAAGTACAGTAGCTCAGGAAAGCATTTTTTAAGAACTCCTAAAACCACGTATTTCAAGAATCTGATGTCATTTTTTAAGATCTTTTTGGGCCTGCATACATGTAATGGGAAACAATAACATACCAAAATTGTATATGTAAATTATAATTGCAATGTTTTGCATGGATTCTTTTATGATTCTGATTTTTTAAAACTTTGCCAATTAATTGTCTTTTTATAATCTATATTTTATAAAACCAATCTGTAATTTGCAAATATAAAAATAGTCCAGGCAAAGTTGAGGCAATGCATGATATTTTTAAAAGCCTATATATCCTCAATGTGATGTACAGGATATAATTTTAATCAATAACTAAACATTAATTGTTCATAAATAACCAAGATTCCTGGTGTTAATTCCATAGCAATTAACAAAAACAAGCCTTTTCATTAGTAACCCTGTCTCTCTTATTTTCCTCTTTCATTTTTGTTTATGTAACTACTACTATAGTTGGGTTCATAGAGATGTTAAGATAAGATCAAAGAAACCATATACCGAATTAACTTGTTATACAGCTCCACCCACTCTTCTTTAGCAATTGTTTGTGACATAATAAATGTTAAACCAACCATGGACTAATTCAAAATGTGAACCAATCACTCAATGATACTGATACTCTATAAATCTCACTGTTGGTAGTAAATGTTAATTATAATAGGTTTCTCTTCTACAACTGTAAGATCCACTAATTCAGTACTGTATATATAGTTTGCTATGATTTAAAATTACATCTATAACTCATAGTTTCTCAGCTTTGAAACATTTATTTCTAAATATAAAAGCACATCTGACTCACAACCATGTATTTTTCTGATGCTTATTTTCTAGCAATTCACATAGCAGTGGATAAGAAATATACAGATGAAAATGTCTATGTGTAGTCATATTTTAAGCTAAATAGCTATCTTTTTATGGTAACAATTCCCCATATTTCAAATTTAGCATACATGTAATAAGCTAGGAAATAAACTATAACTTGGATGAATCCTTAACATTCTAGATAATTTAATAAATAGGACTTTACCGGTGTTTTAAGCCATTCATTTTTGCAAACAGTAACCTCAATACTCTTTCCTTCTGCTCCCAGGTCAGTTCAGAAATGTCCACCTTCCCCTTCTGAATATTTGTCCTACACACACAAAAAAATCTCATGAATCACAGCTCATCAGTATAATTCTGCAGTTATATTAATGTTTATGGCATGACCCTATTCATACATCTATTTATATGGTCTCCAAAAGGTCTTGTGAAAGCTAATACATCCTCTTCACCTCAAAAGTTACTCAACTTGGAGAGGGTGATAATACAGGCAGACTATTAGGAAGAGCTCAGGTATATGAATAAAAAGCTTTCAGTTTCTGTTGCTATGTACTCTGCCTGTATTTCAAATTATATAGAACAAATCAGTGGATAAAATCAATCTAGCTGGCTCCACTAAAAATTAATTACCAACCGGCAATCAACACCTACATGGATTTTATCTAAGGAATTTATTAATATTGCTAGTTTCTTACATCTTTATATCCTAAAAGATAAAAGCTATGTAGAAAGATTAACTTACAATGAATTTTTTAAAGTAAATTATATCTAACAACTACCACAATGTGACTTGTAGTATTTTTCCTTCTCATGTTTCTCTTACTTTCTTATGTCTTTCGAGATACAGGATAGCAGGGTAGTCAAGACAATGTAGTCTTAATGGACACATTTTCAAGCAGTACCTTCTAGAGACTTCTCTAGAATGTTTTTAAAGACATTGATAAATTAATGGCAGATCTAAAGGTAGGCCACCCCAGAATCTACTACTTCAGTGGCATTACCTAAACAAGTAGCACTTACTACAAACAGAGGTATATCCATATAAATAGTCTTCATTTAGTGACTACATCTGGGACTGGCATCTTGGTCATTAAGCAGTCACTAAATAAAACTACAACTAGTGCTTACAGTCTTCCTTCAGCTTTTCTTTGCTTTACAGACCTGCAAAGATCATACATGTGAGAACTAGTTGCAAAGTTATTTTTTCCACTGTTGTAAACTACAAATGATTGCTGTCCAGAGAAATTGCTAAATGAGGACTATTGTATTCTTTTTGACATTGTTAGTGATCCTAGGATGGTTATTTGATCACAAAGTTTTTCACTTGGGATAACATAACTTTAATAAGGATTTAATTTGTGATGAATTTTGCACATCTACCCCCTTTTTAATATTTAAAATATTAAAACTTCTGAAAAAAAAAGTTTAAGTGCATAATTATGCAATCCTGGACAGTAGTACTATCTAAAAACAAATGTAAAGAATTAACCTTGGTAATCTAGGAAATGAAAAGCCAAAGATCAATTTTAAGGCACAGTGTTCCATTCTGTGAGTACATGATTTTGTAGGATAGAAAAAATAAGTATTTGCAGGAAGCACTTAACTAAACATATTTAAATTTCACCTACTCAAGATTTTCAAACACTTTCAATATTTTTTTCTTAAGAGAAATTTAAAAAATGTACTTTATACAACGATGTTGGAGCAAAAACAAAACTAGCATACTTCATCCTTTGAAAACTGATGAGATATTTCATTGGATCAGAACTGCCACTATATCTTAAAAATGATAAAATTGTAGAAAAAATACATAATAGAAAAATGGCATTCACTGTGTCTCTTATATGAGTACCCAGAAGTCTGAAAGTATAATTTGAATATTCAATTTCCAGAGATCAAAACCTCATATAGAATAACAGAGTTGGAAGGGACCTTGAAGGTCTTCTAGTCCAACTCCCTGCTTAGGCATGAAACCCTACACCACTTCAGACAAATGGTTATCTAATATCTAATTCTAAATCTTACATTAAATAGTTACAAATCTATCCCTGCAAATCAAATCTGGTCACATAACCTTATATAGAGTGGAATATGATGAGGAAAAACCACATAAGTCTTGAGTTGGATAGTATACCTGACAAAATATTTTTCTGGTTCCTTCTTCCTTCTAAAATATTGTTTGAATTTTAATGCTAATGGTATATTTAAGGAGTTGACTTTTGAGTTTATAGAAGTAAAGAAAACTTAGCTTTTTATTTTCTAATGGAGATAATGGAAATAATGATAAATTATAGATAGATGGAAATTAAAGGAATAGGATTATCTTTTTTTAAAATTCAGGATTCTTCTTTTCAATTATGTTTTGCTTTTTCAGCATTAGTCATTATAACATATACTACTGAACATGAAATTATTTCTTTTTCCTATCCCAAAATATTCCAAACCAAGTTATGTTATTCCAAAGGAACTTCCTTTCAACTTCTATTTCTAATAGCGAAAGTGACCAGAAACGAAGACTTCCACCACATGTACCATTTCTCTGCTTCCAAAAGGTCCATTTGCACACTATTTGTGCTATATGCACTGTCATTAAATGTTCTGATTTTGGGGTATTCCTCTTTCCCTGCAAATGCTGCCATCATTTTCCTTTGATAGGCGACTTGGGCCACCTGCTTGTAACACTTCCTGCTGCTTATAATCTCTTGTTTGACTTGCTCCAGAGCATCTAAGAAGAATTTCTCCACTTCTGTCCTTTCATTCAAGATGTTCCTGGCTAATTTCTTCACTCTACTCATTTCTCTTTCTTTCATTTTCAGCAGCTGCTCCAGCTTTTCAATTTCTGTCCAAGCTGCTTGATTCTGTACCAAAGCCTTCTCTTCTGTTTTTTTTATTTCTATTTTAAATTCTGCAGCCATATAATTAACTGCTTCTTCTAGTTTTTTAACCTTGTTTTGAAGCTCCTGGATTAGTGTTTTCTGCTGAGTAATTTGTAGAATCTTCTCCTTAATCATAAGGTCTTTGGTTTCCTTAAAAAACAAGGAACAAGGAAGACAGAAAATTATTGGTAAACATTAATAGATTTTTTAAATTATCAAAATGGCAAATAGGAATTGGTCATGAATGTATTATTTGCTGATCCTGTTTCATGTATTTGAAGAATGTGTCTTCTATCAATGCTGCATCTTCCAGATAGGATGTGACATTATTAGATATTTATTCTTTGGAACAAATTGACTGTAGTTTCCCTCCTAACCAAACTGTAATTAAAAGAGTGATTGTTCAATTGAAATAAATGTCAAAGTACTTGTAAAAATGATGACTGAGAAGGGATATATTTGAATGTATAAAATCATATATGCCAGGGGAAAAAATGTCAGTTTTCTCAAACTGGGAGTTTATACCACTCTCTGAAAATACCAAAATCAGGTATCATCTAATGAAGTTGATTGGAATGAGGTTTGAAATAAAGTATTTCACATAGCACATAATGGAAATTAAAGCTAGATTTCATGACAGCCTGTTTCAATAAGCCTAGAGAAATCTTAGCAAGATCTCCTGCCTAAGCAAGGAGTTGGACTAGAAGACCTTCAAGGTCCCTTCCAACTCTGTTATTCTATTCTATTCGTAAATGTAAGTTTTCTGATCAAACTAGAACTTTTGGTCTCCTGGCTGGTGTTTTAATCACTAAACTATATTGGCTCATATACCATAATATGATATGATATATTATATAATGCAATATGATATGCTTATGAGATACATATTATATGCTCATGATACCAGTTTTCCAATACTTTAAGAGCTGCCACTGGAAGAGGGCATTAATTCATTCTTCATAGTGCTGAGGATAAGACAAGAAGCAATGGGTGGAAGTTCATTGTGTAAGATCCAAGGTAGAAATAAAGAAGAATTTCTTGACAATAACAACTGTTAAGAATGGAACAGTTTGCCTCCCAGAGTTGTGGATGCTGCATCTCAGGAGGTTTTCAGGGGAAAAAATGGACAATCATTTCCATGAGATGGTATAAGGATTCCTGTCTTGGGTAGGGGATTAAACTAGAAGACCTCTAAGGTCCCTTCTAGTCCTACAAGAACTAAAGTTTGTCAGCTTTTATGTTATTTCTGTATTCTTTCCAATGGGAAACTTTGTTCCAATGGGCCTAAGCAAAACAAGTGAAAAAAATGGACTCAACCCAAAGTGAATGAAAGGAGTTTTGAAACACTTGACTATCATGAATGAGTTTCATACTCCAAGTTCAGATCAATGACATCTGAGTATTCTGAAGATTTATCTTGAGGGTCTTTCCGTGATCTTTGAGATATCACAAAGGACACTCATAGTACCAGAGGATTGGGGATAAGCAAACATTCTTTATATCAGCAGTCACCACGTGGTGGTCCACAAGAAAATTTTGGTGGTCCACAGAAAAAATATTAGCATTTTTTATATTGCAATAAATGCTATTTATCTTTTAAAAAGATTCATATTAGTTGTCCACAGGATTTAAAATTCTGAATTTAGTGGTCCTTGAGGTCTGAAAGGTTGGCGACCCCTGCTTTATATCATCAAAAAGTAGTAAAAAGAGAACTTAACTAATTAGATTTTGGTCAACTTGATGTTGATACTGGGCAACAGCTTGGAAAAGATTTTTTGTGAACATTTAGAAAACAATGCATGGTTTAGTAGAGCAGCAAGCTCTAGTACTTGATACTCTTTTTTGATAAGAGTGATCAGTTGAATCTACCAGAAAAATGCCATGGATATTATATTCCTTGTTTTTAGCTGAGCAATACAGTCCATGAAATTCTAATGGAGTAGGTGGCAAAATGTGGGATGGATAAATCTGGATGAGCAGTTTTTGTCAGTGGTTCTGAGTCAAGCTGGATAGAAGTATTAAGTGATACATTACATTCCAGGGTTTGTACCACTCAACATAATTATAAATGGCTTGGATAAAAGATTAATATGATTATTAGAGTTGTAGATGACATGAGGAAAGGGGAGGATATTGTAATCACTTTAGCAGACAAATATACCTTAGTAACAAGCTTCAAGAGGACCTTGACAAGATGCAATAATGGATAGAAATCAGGAGAGAAATTGGGTCTTGTTTGACGAAAGTTACGAAATAGACATGTGTCTTTAGATCCTCTAAAAAACAAGTAAACAGATTTCTTGTATAAAAAGCTATTAAGCTGTTTTTAAAAATTAGCAATTGCTAAATACCAAATGCAAGATATATCAAATGTATGATACTTGCAAGATACAATTCTGTAAATTGTATCTGTCATTTGGGTGGAAAAAAGTCAAAAGAATATTAAAATATTATTTGTGATACATAATCTACACAATCTCATTATGATTTCCATATACTGAAAAGTCATTGCTACTTTCCATTATATATTGGTCAGACTATACATAAAAAGTTGTATGCAGGAAGGAAAACTATTTTATGAAGGACACTGACAACCTGGAGTGGGAGGAGTCTAGGGGAAACCAGCAAGATGATAAGGGAGAAAAACCTAAGAAGAAAAACATGAAGACTTGGAAACATGAAAGTTATCCTGAGGTATTTGATGGTGAGTCAAACTTAAATTCTAGAAACAAGACGAGAAACAATGGGTTTACATTACAAAAGAAGCAGATTCAGATTATTTATCACAAATAGTACCCTAATGGTTGAGAATTGTTCAACATTGGAACTACAGAGATTTTATAGTTATTTTTCAGGGATCCTATAGTAGTAGATTCCTGCACTGGAAGGAGTTGGAGTAGATAATCTCAACAGTATTTTCTAACATTTCCATATAGTAATTACCGAGGAAATTAATTACCACAAGACACAATGATAGTCACTAATTTGAATGGTGCCAAAATAGGATTGGATAAAGTGTTACCCCATATTTATTGTGTATCTTCTATTTCTTTTAGGAACTTAAGGCAGTGTACACTGCACTCTGTCTTAATTTTCTTAACGCTATATGGAGCTGAAACAGTGATTGGCTCAAAGTTACTTGCATGACTGAAGATGGATTTAATGCTGTGTCACCCCTGTACCAGCTGCACAGAATACTAGTTTCAGGGAACAGTCATAGGAAGCATTATGTCTCCATATCCTATTTGTGAGCACCAGAGAGTTATATAGTTGTTACTGTAACAAAAAAAAGTGCAAAATTAAGATTGCTTTGAACTGTAGCCTGAGCCAGCACAGCCATTTCTTTTAAATCTGTTATCTATAACAACAGCTTTATCTAAACTTATTTTGAAGCTACCTTGATTAAGTAAGTATTGTAAGTAATGCCATATTCATTTCCAAATCTCAACACACACACACAGATCTTATTTACTACAGAACAAAAAAGGAAGGAAGAATAAAAACCTTTTCCTGCAAGTGGAAGGCATTGCTCTCTTCCAATTTTTCCTTGATATTTTTTAACTCTTCTGTCTCTTTCATGTGATAAGCCAGAGCCTCTTGAAGACGAACATTCTCTGTAAAAACTGCTCGTCCAGCATTATCCAACTGCCTGAATAAGAGCAAAATGATCCAGCAATTGGTATGGAATTTTCAGAGCTAATTCTAATACGGTAACATGTAAATGGAAAGTCTGCCTGCACAATGGAACTTTATTTATCTCTCTTTTCTGGAGGATCCTCAATGGTGGGGATTAGTTTTTGAGTCCAAGCCCAAAAGAAATGTCTTTTACATATTTCATTACAGAAGAAATTCTATCAGCATGAGGATTTTAGCTCCTTTATTTAATATTTCACAATACAAAAAATAAATTCATGAAGTGATATAGATCTATTTAAGGACATACCGTATTTCCCTAAAACTAAGGCCCAGGTTTTTTTGCCTCCAAAAGAGGCACTAGGACTTATTTTCGGTCTTCCACTGTCTAACCTTATGGTGGTGGCACTGACAGCTCCAACCAACAGGAGCCCTTGTGGTTTCTGCTGGCCCACTTCTTGCTGCAACTCATACAGGCCTCTGTTTAGCTATCAGAGGCCTTCAGGAAAGGCCTCTGACAGCGAAACAGAGGCAGGGGTGATGTACACAAGAAGTGGCAAGTAGCCACAGAAGAAATGGGCCAGCAAGGTGAGGCAGGTGTAGGGGTGTGCGAGGCATGGCTGCAGCTATCCAAAGGTAAACAGTTCCACCCCTACATCCCCTCACTTGATTTTTACTTGTGTGCCTCACCCCACCCTGTGCAACCAGGTGCAACAAAGTGGACAGGATCTTAACTAGGGCTTATTTTGGGCATAGAGCTTATTTTAGGTGTACATATAAAAAATCAAGCTAGGTCTTATTTTCAAGATAGGTCTTATTTTCAGGGAAACACATTAGGATTACTTTCAACTTGGCATCCTATTTTTTTCCAGGAATGAAACATGTATTGATTTCCCAGAACCATTAATATTTCTACTTCTTCTTCATCATCACTATCATCATAGTTCATATTTAACAAGCTAGGAATACAGAGATCTATTAAGTCTTACGCAATGGCTTCATGATGGGCTCTTTCAGCCAGCATTATAATCTTCTTCTCTGCTTCTCTTTCCAGCCGTTGCTGAAAGAAAAAGTAACAAAATAAAAGTATACTTTCATTACTGCAGGGATTAGATATATTGAAATTATATGTCTACTATTCCAAAAGTACTCTACCTTTTCTTCAATGAACTTTTTCTCCAACATACTAATAGTTTCCTGATGTTCTCTTTTTGTGATATCCAAGGTATCTTTCAGCTAGAATTTAAAGAAGCATTTAATTATAATGTAGTCATTTAGAGGGCAATTCAATTAACACTTTCACAGAAAAACTGACCAGGTCTGTATTCATTTATCTATTTGTATCCCACCTTTATTATTTTTACAAATAACTCAAGTATATCTGACACAACTTCCTCCTCCTATTTTCCCCACTACAGCAACTCTGTACGGTGAGATGGACTAAGAAAGAGTGATTAGCCCAAAGTCACCCAGATGGCTTTCATGGCTAAGGTGAGACTATAACTGGATCTCTTTCTTTCTAGCTTGGTGCTTAACCTCTAGACCAAACTGGCTTTCCAGAACTGGATTATTTTAGAACATCTCACATTTAGATTTTCTCCAATTGTTTTTCAGATTTGTAGTTTTTACCTATCATCTCTTACTTAGTAAAAAAAAAAAACCAATAGATCAGCAACTCTATAGATGCATACCAGTATATCATAAGCACTATTTAGAAATATAACATTGTCTCATTTTAACATAACTTTTCCTCTTCTAGAGGTATTGTCCAAATGATCGTTCTTTAAGATACCTGTTGAAATACCTGTTCTGCCAGATTTGAGAGTTGAATTTCTGCAAAGTAATATTTTACTGCCTTATTATAATTTACAGACTGTTCTGATATATATTTCACAACTCTATGTCACTACTGGAAGCTACATTTGTCTATCATAAGAACTATCAATAAGGGGAGATTATAAGGCCCTTCTAAAAATTGATATAAGAATGGTAAGGAATAAACTTACATCTTCTAATTCTTTCTCCAAAAGCGCTTTCTTTTTGCGAAATTCTTTGATCATCTTAAGTTCAATCTGAATTAGACCAATTTCCTTAGCCTTTCCATGAAATTTCTCCTCCAACTCTTCTAACTGTTTGGCAAATAGTTCTGCCTACAAATTTAAAATCTTTTAGCTCAAATAAAGTATCTAGGCATAGATCTTAAATTAGTTAAACAGTACTGAAAAACAAAAATTACATTTTAGTGCAATCTTTAAAAGCAATTAAAAATAATCCATCCTCAGATAAAGGTTACTGCTAAAGAACTAAAATACCTATTAATAAAATAAAATGCAAAATAGGCGCAAATAATGGCTTTATCAGTTTCAAGACAGTTCTACCTTAGATTGTATGAAACAACTGCTGAGAATTGAGGATTACAACTTTCTTAGATTCTTGAGGCAAGGTATGTTTACTTGGAAGTAATTCACTTAGATGTCAACAATTTAGTCCATCAAAAAAGCACAGGTTTGGCTTTATTATCTCAAGGAGAATATCAGCATACTTGGACCCTACTTCTCCATTTTTTTCTAGCAAAATAAGTTTCAAAAAATGTTTTAAAAATTAGTAACAAAGTGAGTTTTAAAAATAAATAATTTTGTATTTGTAATGCAAAATAATCTTATGCAGTTTATGTAGATAAATTTAATATTTATCTGTCATGCCTGATGCTTAACACATGCTAAGCCTGATCTGCAATGTCCTTTGTTACCAAAAGTGTCAGAAGAAATGTCCATTCACCGCTTGTTCACTTTCTTCTTTGGCTCTGAGCTTCAATTCATTCACCTGCTGTTTCAACTTCTCAATCTAAGTATTAAAAACATAAAGATGATAAACAAGTCAATATTTCCCCCTGATAATAGCCAGAAGCCAATAACTGGAATGAAGGGATTCAAAAATTAAAATCCCTTTCTTCTGGCTTAAGTTCATATTCTCCATATTCTAGCAACAGGAGATAGATTTTTTGAAGTTATAAGTACTGAGAAAAGTGTTCTTAACAAATGAAAGGCATACCAAGCCATTAAATGCCTTGGTCTCATTTTTTCAAAAGTACGCCCATAGCTAGTTCATGATTCCCCAAAATAAGACAATGGAAAACCCAATAATTAGCATGGAGACCTTTCTGTGATATCTTTACATTAAAATCACAGATGAGCTTTAAGCAAAAGTCTAATTGATAGTTTCCCGCCATCTCTTACACCAGGAAAAGCACCCAGGAGTAATTATTTTCCTTTATCATGATTGTGTTAATCAGAATAGAATAGGATAGGGACGGGGATGGGGATAGGAAAGAATAGGATAGGATAGTGAATTTTTTAACCCACTCACAACAGATGTGGAATATATTATCAAATTCCGCTTTCCAAATGTCACAGTCAAAAGAAAGCTACAGTCTATACAGGGAGTATGGAATGGCATTCTTAATTATTATTCTTTATCATGATTGTGCTAATCAGAATAGAATGGAATAGGGATAGGGATGATAGGGATAGGATAGAACAGGACAGAACAGAACAGAACAGGTTTATTTGGCCAAATGTGATTGGAATTTGTCTACGTGCAGAAGCTTTCAGTATACTTGCAAAGCAACAGAATGATGATAATCATAATAATATCAATTCAAAGATAGAACAAGAAAGATAAGGATATTACTAATGCGACAATCATATTGGGTAAATACATATAGAAATTAGACAGTGCTGTGAGAATTAGGTATCCAGCAGAGTGATGGCCTGAGGAAAAATTATCCCTGTGTCTACTTATTGTGGACTGCACCCGGCAATGCCCTGTAGCACCATTCAGAAGGAAGCAGCTGAACCAATTTATGTTCAGGATGTGAAGGGTTGCAGATATCTTCTTAGTCCTCTTTCTGACCCAGGCAATGCACAAGTCTTCTATGGAAAGCAGGCTAATTGCATTTGCAGGTAATCCTTGACTTACAACAGTTCATTTAGTGACAGTTTGTAGTTACAAGAGCATTGAAAAAAGTGAGTTATGACCATTTTTCACACTTACAACCATTGCAGCATCCCCATGCTCACATGATCCAAATTCAGATGCTTGGCAATTGACTCCCATTTATGAGAGTTGCAATGTCCTGGAACCATGTTGCAACTTTCTGACAAGCAAAGTCAATGGGGAACCAAATGCACTTATCAACTGTGTTACTAATTTAAGAACTGCAGTGATTCACTTAACAAATATGGCTAGAAAAATCAACATGGGCAAAACTCACTTAACAAATTTCTCACAGCAGCATAAATTTTGGGCTCAATTACAGTCATATGTTGAAGACTACCTGTATTCCTTCTGCAGTCTTAACTATCCATTGGAGTCTGTATTTGTTCTGTTTAGTTGCTGTACCAAACCAGGCAGTTAATAGTAGTTAATGCTGTACTTTTTCCCCAGGGCATTTGTGCCCTGGGAAAATTTATTTATTAAATTTGTGTGCCACCCATCTTCCTATTGAAAGTGACTCTGGTGCAAATGGTGCACACCTCACAATTATTGCATTGCAGTTGAGATGATGATGTTTATACATTACATTTAATATTGAAAGCATTGGGCATACTGTAAATACAGTAAAAATTAAAGCCAAATCCACAATTTAAAGAAATCAATAACTGACATTTGCCCAGGGAACCACAGCCTGACAGATTAAAGAAGGGCAACTCTACATTTTGTCTGAAATGGTGGTATAGGGTTTCCTGCCTGAGCAAGGGGGTTGGACGAGAAGACCTCCAAGGTCCCTTCCCACTCTGTTCTGTTCTGTTCTGTTCTTGTTCTGTTCTACACCTACCAAGTCTTCCTTTTCCGCCTCTTGTTTCTTGAGGCAGGACATCACGTCGACCGTATCTTTCTCCAGCCGCCGCTGCTGCCGTTCCAGCTGTTCGTTGTCCCGGGCGAGGCGGCGAGCAGCCTCGCGGTACTCTTTGCGGGAGATCTCCGTTACCTCCAACCTGGCCTCCCATAGCGCCGCTGCGGCTTTGGCCCTTTCGGCCTCCGACTCCTCCTTCAAGGACCTCGGGTCTACTCCGCTCTTGCCGTCTTTCTTCCCCCTGAGAAGAGTAACGCGACGCCCAGGGCGAGTGAAGGATCGGCTTAAACGACTAGCCCCGGCCAGCAGCACCACCACCACCACCCCACCTTCGTTAGGAGAACACCTTCCAAGATACCTACTTCCCTCCTTTCGCGCCTTTGTCTTGCGCGGTTTTCCCGGCCATGTCGGCAGGCTGGGCTTTTCGGGAGATTGTCTTACTTCTCAAAGCGACTCCGTTGCTATGGAAACCACGCGTCGCGGGAAAGTGAGGCAGGACTGGTGCGCCCGTGACGTAATGCGCAATGTATTGACGTGACACGCGGCACCGGTGAGATGTGGAAAGCTGAAGGTTCGGAGAACATGGTGAGTGAAAACTGGGCTTGGGGGGGGGGGGTCAATGGGAGGTGATGGGAAGGGGTGTCTTTCCCTAATCCAGGGCCGCCGACACGGGAGTCGAACCAAAACACGCGTCCCTTGCTCCTGCCTTTCGGCGCACTCTTGGCTACTCTTAACCTCTCGGGTTGTCCCTACCGTGGTCTCTGGGCGATATTTCTCGTTGCATTTCGTGTGTTCTAAATATTTCAAACTCCGTTGTCTCGATAGCTTTGTATTTTCTGTCGCTTTGCTGACTCTTTAGAGAGCTGTCTCCTTTCACACGCATTCAACCCATGATATTCTAAGTAATCCATAAACGGATTTAAAGGCTTTTATTCTCCGGATTGTCATTTGGGCATCATTCAGTACAAAAGAACTGGCAAGATATAATAGCGCGCAGCTCAACGAAATTCCATTCTTAAGTCTCAACAGCAAACACACACATACACACACACACACATATATTTTTAAAAAGCTTCTCTCACTTTATCAGTCCTACTATTTATTTCCAAAGTATGATCTCATAGAACTCTGTAGGACTCAATTGACAAGTATTTCGCATGTATCTTCCAATGCTAATTTAATCTTTCATCTATCCAGTATGAAAATTTCTGCATAAATATTTTACTTGAAAAGGACAAATGGCTCATCGTTTGTTAACAATATTTTTATTTCTAAAAATGTAACTGGTCATTGATTACAGCAAAAACAAGTCACATGTAATTTCTTTACATACGAATATTCCAGATATGCTCAGTATGCTACTATTATTGAAAATGATGTTGCCTTTCCCCCCACAAATTTCAGTTGCAACAGTGTCTCTGAGATTTCTGATATGGTATTTTAAAGACACGTAACATATCAGTTCCAAGTAATTACACCAATCTTGAGATCATAGGTGTTCTTACAAGATTCTTACAAGGTTCATAGGTGTTCTTACACAATTTGACAAGAAGAGATAATACCACATATTTAGAGCACATCGGTTTAGTATCTATTTCATCTAGTACAACTGGACTGCTGAGTGTGTTGCAATGAATATTCAAGTTGGTAAATAATTTCCTAGGTCAGTAGTTTTCATTGGAACTTCCTAGTTGAAATATGCCCCTTGAACGTATGCTAGAAAAAAAAATCCAACTGGACACTTTTTTCTTATTTACCTTAGATAAATGATAAACCCCTGTTCACAGAAAATGGACTTACTGATATATGATATGCAACTTTCCAGTCTACATGATTAATAGCTAAATATTTTTCATTGTACTCATAGAACCGGTAAGTACTAATATAGTTCGTATTTCCTGAATTTGGGGGGGGGGAGGGAGTCTGGATTAAAAAAAACTACCAAATTGGAACTTTTTATTTGAAAATATGGCAATGAAGGCATCTATGATATATGATATTTATTATAATTATACATGTTTTATATAAAAATAATAATGGAGTGTCTTAGTGGCTAAGGTGTTGGCCAGGGAGTCCTAGGTTCAAGGATACACTTGGCCGTAGAAACTCTGATTTTGGGATTCATTCTCTCTCCCCCTCCCTCTCTTTTTGTCCCCCCCCCCTACTTTTTTGTAGGAATAAATGAAAAGAGATTGCCAGTGCAGACTAATTTGATCTCTTGGAGGAAAGCAATATATAGCAATCAAGTATTTTTATACTTTGTAAAACTAAACAGAGAAAAAAGAAAATCAATGCACATATATTATATTGCAAAATCTCTGTTCCAACGCATTTTAAGGAAGAATCTCTTAAGGGCAATGTAATTCATTAAAAAAATAACGTTTCACAGTGTATACAACTAAATGCTAACTGCAAATAAGACATACATATTAGTCATTATTAAACAATATTAGAATTTTATTTTTTAAAGTCCCATGATGAAAAGTTAAATGCTTTGGGTTTAAGTTTTTGCAATAAAGTATAAAGTTTTCCTCTTTTGTTTTTTTCATTTCCTTACTCCATTCAAAAAGGAGAGGAAGAAAACAAAGACTGGCATATATGGTGTACTACCAACACTTATAAAAGGGTAGGGAGATGACATTATGATTAAGGTTTTACGTAATCTTTTTAGATGAAATTTGTAAAAAAAAGATTATATTGCATACATTCACTATTTCTAGATTTTAAAAGTTTCCAACTAGATCAAATTTCCTTGTCTATGTAGAGCCATTTTTTTAGATTAGATTAAAATTTCAGCATCACATTTTTCTAATTATACTTTTAAACCCGATATACAAGGTACTTGGAGCAACATATGAAAATACTTTAGGTTTTATATGGGTTAGAATGTTATGCATTAGAAAACTAAGATTTAGGTTTAAGTTCAAAATTCATTTTTGCAAATACAAAAATGCCCAATTTCCAATGCAATATATGGATAATAGTTATTGTATCTTGGGCATGTATTGCTATTGGTTTCTTGCCCCTATTTTCCATGAACATAATAATTTGATCTTTTATACAAGTTATAAATTAAACCAGCAAAAAGAATTGTAGCAAAAAACTTTTTAATTAATTATTAGGAGAAACGTTGTTAATAGAACAATTGGATTAAAAAGTAACTGCTTAAGGGACTATGTTATAGTTTGTTATTAGGAATAAAGTTGAAAGAATAGCTATAAAAGTTAAACACATGATAGGACAAGAAAATGGAAGAAAAGTAGAACAGACAAGTTTTTTTGAATAATAGGAGCTAGAGAGAAAATTGAAAAGTTGGATGATGGATGATGAAGCAATAAAGAACCCAGCAATTAGGGATTCAGATACTAAGTACTGATCACATGCCAGTGAACTGTTGTAATCAGCAGATCTCTGGTAATTGTGAGAAATGATTGCATAAGATAAATGTTGATATTTATTTAAAAAAAACAGCATACCAGAGTTAATAACCATCTATTGTGGAAGACAAATACCTGTGAAAAGCACAGTAAAACAAATGGCACAGCAGGGGGAAAGGGGACCTGAATGGAGGAAGAAATGTTACATTATTTTATATATTTAAAACACTTAAATGGCTGTCCATCTTGTAGAACTCAAGTATTGAGGTTTGTAACAATAGCAAAGACAATAAAACCAGGCATCTGACCCACAATCTCTAGCACATCAAACTTTACAATCCTTGGTTTCCAGTGTGTTAGTTTCAAATTATTTAGGCACTCTGGAATTTACTAGAAGCAATAATGTTCATAAAGTCTCTTGCTACAGAAACTTAACTCATAAAATCTGAAACTCTTCTGTTTTCCTTAATTAATGTGCATTTCAGTTTGAGATTTTAGCGTAATTTAGCTTTTGTGAATTTCCTATGATGAATTTTCCTAGAATTTTTCTTTAAGCAGAATTTTTTTAATGTTACTGTGTCAACATTTTCTGAAATCTTATAAATGCAGATGCAAGTGTGGTTCTGCACATCAAACACAATAAAATGGGCAAATTTCATCTGGAAAAAAAAAGCACAAAACAGAAATGACCCTGAACCATAAATTGGATATGAAGGGGGAGGGCACCACAACTAAATGCATTGTTTTGTTCTGCCTACTTGGTGTCATCAACAGCATGTACAATTCCCATTGTTGGTTGTTTTGAAAGACACTTGTATTCTGAGCTTTCCTAGCCTCCTCGAAGTGATAGCTAGAATTATAGCAAAGCTGACTACATTAATTCCTACATTAATTTGGAATGTTCAAAATTAATTTATATACTTTTAAAGAAGTAAAACTTTTGCATTTATTCCATATATAATACATGGTTGTAACTGTTCCATAGATTTAAAGAAGCAGACTTGAAGTGTAGTGGTTTGCCCTTGTATTAATGATGAAATCACTTTTTGGGGATGTGGCAAGTTTCTGTGTTGGCTGATTTATTTAACACAATTTTTCTGATGTATATGTTATCTTCAGGAACCTCTACAATCTGGAAGTCTTGATTCAAACTGCAGTTCTCTGAGGCTGCCAAGCATGATGGGTACTTCCTGGTTCACAATCATTGCCATATTTGTGTTTTCCTCCATTTATTGTATTGTTTCTCATCCCAAACCGGAGTTATGGTTCCAAGAACTCTTCCCCCTTAAGATGTGTCCAGCCAATGCCACCATGGAAACATTTTATGGCATCATGTTTGATGCAGGAAGCACAGGGACACGAATTCATATTTACACCTTTATACAGAAAAGCCCAGGTAAGATTGTTGGAAGTTCTCCTGAACATATATACTTATGGTGTACATATATCTGCTAGGTGGTTGTATTGGTTGATGCATCACTTGCAATTTCCTGCTGATTATGTTTTGTGGTTTTTAATTAGTTTTAATAATATTAATTTTGGGTTGATTTTGCATTTGGTACAGTTTATTGTTTTTGTGGTTTTTAATTATGTTAGCCATCCAGTTACAAATGTGAGGTGTGCAGTTATATAAATTGAATAAATAAGTCATTAAAATGCTATAACAACCAGACACTTGTCAATGCATTATAAGAAATTAATTGACTAATTTTGATATTAATCATCTTGTTTACTCTCCACAAGTTGTTGACTTGACCTCATCAAGTCTATAAGCAACTCTTAAATAATTCAGATAAGAGTAAATGTTTCAGGAATTTACTAGATAACCTCCTGAGTCATCCTTTCAGAAATATTTCCTCACCAGATTCTTCTGACAAAGCTCTTGCTGTAATGCCTTCAGTGGAAAAAAAATGGGATAGGTTCAAAGATGAGGTTGCCTTGAAATTATCCCATGTTGAATTGTATATACCACAGTTGGAATGTTTTATGACATTTTGTATTATGCCATAAACTGTTTCATGATAATGTTTATGT